TTAATTACAACCCCCCCATGACCTCCATACATAAATTAGAAGATGCTCTGTTATTTCACGTAGTTCTACTTTATAACACAGATTAATTTGCTTTTGAAGTAAGAATAGTTTCCAGGCAATGCCTTCTAATGTGTCATTGCAGAAAAGCAGTATCTCTTGAGCCTGTGTATTTCTGAACTGTAAATTTTGTACTTTTATTTTCAAACTGGAAACATTTAGTTCTTAGTACCTTTGCTGTTCTTCTGTCTGAGATATTAGTTTCAGCAGCTTTACTAGTTTTAGTTGAGACAGTGTATCATACTTGTCTCTCTTTCTCCCTAGTTGGATGTATAAGCTACACATGGGTCATTTTAACATAGTAGGTTTTTTTTTAATCATTGCTCATCTGATGAGTTCCTTGTCTGGCATGCTAAAACGCTCTTCTGACATCTGTGGAGACACAGAAAGGGAACACAATTCTTTTTTTAATGTTCTCTACATAGGCATGTAGAAAATAGGACACTACAATGGATTTCAATCATGGTGTTTCTGTTATTTTGAAGTACAGTATGCCACATATGAGTAGAATTTGTATTCTTAGATACTGTGACAGAAGTATGATTTCAACCTAGCTTCAGTTGTGATTGGTTTTAATTCTTGTGGTCTGTGGGTCATTCACTTCCCCCCCACAACCCATCAGTTCTAGAGCTAGACTGATACCAACAGTAAAATCTTGGAGATCTCTAAAAGTGTATTTTTGATATGGTATTCTTTGCTAGCACAGCTATATTTTTATATTTTTCTAGCTTCCTACATCAGAAACCTTTGTGTTTGTAAATATGTATATATTTTTTTAATTACAGGTATAATGTTTCCTGTCAATATTAAAGTGTTACAATTTTCATTCATTACCATTCTGTCGATTACTGCTCATGCCTGTCTTGATAGTAATGTTTGTTTCAGACTTTTTCTTGATTGTCTTATTCCCTTGTACACTGTGTGCTTCACTGGAACATGGAGTATTCCAGGCCACAGGATTTACCAAGTTATTAGAAACTGATTAGCAAACTGTCACTGTTTGATTTAGAAGTTCTGTTTGAAGTTAGGAATAATGCTGGAGTAAGAAATGTTTTCAAGGCTTTTGAAGAGTTATCAGAATGTGCCCCTCTGCAAAGTGGTTGTTGGAAGTAAGTCCCTTCCAAGAACTCCAGTGTTATTGGTCTAAATATTCTGTTATAGCTCTCCCTTAAGGAGTAGAGTACAAAAACATGGACTTGGGTTTATTGAGGGGTGCTTTATTTAGCCATCTTGAATTTTTGTTATGAATTTCTCTTTTTCGTATTTCTCCACTTTTATTTAGTCATTCATGTCTACTTTCTTTGGTTTTGTACTGATTTTTCTAGGATAAATTGGATATCTGACATTATTGTGGTCGTCTCTCCTGAAAATATCGAAACAATGAAGACTATCATTGAAAAATATGGCCACAAAAGAGTTACAGTAGTAAAAGGTGGAATAACTCGTCACCGGTCAATATTCAATGGACTGAAAGTATTTGCAGAGGATGAATTTTCCTGCCATTTGCTCCAGAAGCCAGAAGTAGTGATTATCCATGATGCTGTGAGGCCTTTTGTCGAAGAAGATATTGTTTCAAAAGTGGTTATGGCTGCTAAAGAACATGGGGTATGTACTATACAGCAATGTAACTCTTTATACTGTACAGCTTAAAATAGTGATTGATAAATTGGAATTTTCTAGCAATTTTATTAATGTGTGATGAGGTTTTTTTTAAGTAGAACAGATCCAGATTCCCTATTATGCAGAGATGTCAGGTGGGGGAGGTTGACATTAAAATGCTGCAGGTATTATTTCCTAAGAGAATAATTGTTTCCATAGAGACTGTCAGTAAGAAATTGAAGCAATCAGCAATTTGTTAGTTGAAAGGTAGGTTATGTAATGATAGTTTACCTTTTTTTTCCATGCAGAATTATCACTTAATGCTGGAGCAGTTCTGTTAGTGATTACTAATACTAGCCAAAGAGTCTCTCCAGCTGTAGGTTGGATAGTCTCCTGTTTTATCACTGCATCTGATGACTGATCACAGAAACCAAAAGGATTTCTGAGAAAGTAAGTGGTACATGAAGGGGAAGAGTTGGTGGAAGTTGTGTTATGCAAGTAGAAGGATAGAAGAGGCATGTACTGGCAATAAGAGGAACTGATAGATGAACTGCCTAAGTCAGAGATATACGGAATCTTGACTTAGCCACAGTCTTGTTTGCAAAATGTGTTATCTTTAATTTGTTCTTGAATTCTCCATGAATAGTATTCATAATGCTTCCCTGCTTCA